ATAACCAAAATTACGATAAAACTCTAGTAATGTTTTCAATTTGATAATTTACTTTTTTTTAAATGTTATTATTGTTTTATATCTGTAATGCTAGCTTTTGAATTGTTACAGAAGTAAACGAAACTATTTAGATGTTAGAAATGACATTGATTTAGTTCAAGAACAAAAGCCGCTGAAAGACAATCAAGTAATGTATTAAATTATAGATAGCATTTGTTTCAATATATCATTATTTTAAATCTGTTTTATTTGCTCTCAAGTTGTTATTGACTTGGTTGATAGTCACTAGTATGTTAGGAATAACATTGATTTAGTTAAAAAAAAAAAAAGTCGTCGAAACAAAAACCGAATAATGTATTCAATTTCATGATAAACATTTGTTTCAATATCTATTATTATTTTAATTCTGTCAAATTTGTTTACAAGTTGTTATTGAATTAGTTGATAGAAACTAAAAGGATCTTAGAAATAACATTGATTTAGTTAAAGAACCAAAGATGTATAAACATAATGGATACATGTATTCAATTTCATAATCACATTTGTTTTAATACATTATTACACAGACTCTGTCATATTTAGTTTTTAGTTGTAATTGACTTGGTTGATAAAAACTAAAAGGATGTTAGAAATAACATTGATTTAGTTAAAGAACCAAAGTAGTTGTTGAAACAAAATCGAATAATGCATTCTATTTCATAATAAACATTTGTTTAAATATTTATTTTTATTTTAAATGTGTCAAATTTATTTTCAAATTGTTATTGAATTGGTTGATTAAAACTAAAAGGATGTTAGAAATAACATTGATTTAGTTGAAGCACCAAAGTCGTTGAAACAAAATCGATTAATAATTTGATTTTATAATTAACTTTTATTTTAATACATAATTATATGACATCTTAAATATGTCTTTATAACTTGTTATTGACTTGGTTGATAGAAACTAAAACAATGTTAGAAATAACATTGATTTAGTTAAAGAACCAAAATCGTTGAAACAAAATCGATTAATGTATTCAATTTCATAATTAACATCCGTTTCAATATACTATTTATTTTAAATAAGTTTTATTTGCTTTTAAGTTGCAGTTGACTTGGTTGATAACAAAACTAAAATGATGTTAGAAATAACATTGATTTAGTTAAAGAACCAAAATCGTTGAAACAAAATCGATTAATGTATTCAATTTCATAATTAGCATTTGTCTCAATGTTCTATTATATAAAATCTGTAATATGTTATTTTAATGGTTGATAGAAACTAAAAGGATGTTCAAAATAACATTGATTTAGTTAAAGAATCAATGTCGTTGAAACAAAATCGATTATTGTAATCAATTTTATAATAAACATTTGATTCAGTATCTATTTTTATTTTAAATCTGTCACATTTGTTTTTTAAGTTGTTATTGAATTGGTTGATAGAAACTAAAAGGATGTTAGAAATAACATTGATTTAGTTAAAGAACCAAAATCGTTGAAACAAAATCGATTATTTTAATCAATTTCATAATAAACATTTGTTTCAGTGTCTATTTTTATTTTAAATCTGTCACATTAGTTTTAAAGTTGTTATTGAATTGGTTGATAGAAACTAAAAGGATGTTAGAAATAACATTGATTTAGTTAAAGAACCAAAGTCGTTGAAACAAAATCGATTATTGTAATCAATTTCATAATTTAATATTTGTTTCAATGTTCTATTATATAAAACCTGTAATATGTTATTTTAATTGTTGATAGAAACTAAAAGGATGTTAGAAATAACATCGATTTATTTCAAGAACCAGAGATGTATAAACATAATGGATACATGTATTCAATTTCATAATTAACATTTGTTTCAATATATTATTACACAGAATTTGTCATATTAACTTTTAAGGTGTAATAGACTTGGTTGAAAAAACTAAAAGGATGTTAGAAATAGCATTGATTTAGTTAAAGAACCAAAGTCGTTGAAACAAAATCGATTAATGTATTAATCAATTTCATAATTAATATTTGTTTCAATGTACTATTATCTAAAATCTGTAATAGTTGCTTCTAAGTTGTTATAGATTTGGTTGATTAAAATAAATAGATAGTAGAAATAATATCTTTTTAGTCTAAGAACCAAAGTCCTTTAATCAGAATCGATTAATGTATTGAATTTAATAAGTAACATTTTTTTTCAATATAGTATTAGATACAATCTGTCATATTAGCTTTTAAGTTGTAACATATTTTGTTGATAGAAACTAAAAGGATGTTAGAAATAACATTGATTAAGTTCAAGAATCAAAGTTGTTTACACAATCATATTATGTATTTAATTTTATAATTAGTATACAGTTCGGAATATTACACCTTATTTAATCAGTATTGTTTGTTTGAATACTTTGAAAGATTTGGTTTAAAATGACATTGCATTAGTTTGTGTAAAACCAATAGCCATATAAACAAACGAGGAATCAATAAAAAAAAACATTGTCACTCCCAGCCCCAATATTTCGGTATTTCCCTCAACTTCCGACGAAGCAAGATGAGGGTAACCTAAATTCATCGTTAACTTTTGCTGTTGAAGAAGCCCAGGAGGCCGAAGTTTTGGGACTGAAAGTGACAACTGTTTCATTATAATTCATGACCAACTATGGAAATCAATGTTCCAACGTGTGATGGTTCGAACATTTCTACGTTATTTTTTCATATCGGTATTTTTTTAAGTTGTAACAGACTTGGTTTATAGAAATTATTTGGATGTTAGAAATGACAGTGACTTAGTTTATTATAGCCATAGCCGTAAAACAACTACGAAAAGTTTGTTATAATTAACATATATTACTGTGTGTTTTGTCATTATTGTAAATCTGTAGTTTTAAATAACGATAGAATGTGTGTATATATTTAAGTGGAAATATCAGTTGATTTAAATGAAAATAACAGAAGTAAGAAGTGATCTATAATAAAGTGACCCAGTACTACTTTATCTAGTAATGTTATTGATACATTTCCGTCAGTGTACTCAAAACGGAACAGTGTTTAGTTAGATATCAATGTATTTTATACCATAGTATCAATTCCACAAATGTTTGTTCATTTTCATGAATAGATACCATCCGCTTTTCTTTTCTGTTGCAAGTTGATATTTCCGACACGTGGTTCTGTAAATAGTACACAAAATACTATCATGGTCGCACAGGCCCATGAAGCGATGTAACTGTATCCGAAAAGGGACACTTTGGTATTTTGGCAAATATTGGGGAATACACGATCAATATAAGCAGAAAATTACACAAAGTTTAAAAAGTCAGAAGAGGTGCTGTTAAATTTCTTCTTTAAACAAGCATTACTTTGAAAAAAGAAATATAGATTTATGAAAATTGATATCCAAAGGAATACCTTCGAATTTGCACGATTAACATGAAAGTATCATTAAGTAAAAATTGTATTAATTGAAATACTTATTTTCATTGCATGACCATTTCTAAGGCCATTTTCCCATATGTATCCCGTTTTGGGTGCACTGATGTTAGTTTTGGAACTAATTTGCTTGTAATATACAAAATTGTCAGTTTTATAAACATATTTGTAAAAGAACAAAATTGGTATTAGCAAAAGAAGATATGAAAAAACGATTAATTTTCAATCGAATGTAATTAGCAATACAGCTTTGTTTTATTAAAATTCTGAATTCTGTAATGCATCTTTCTTATTTTTTCTACATTTAAAAGGAAAATTGTTGAAGTAAATATCAAATTGGCAGATCACAGGACTGCAGGATAGAAACGTCCCCAAAGCCTCGCCAACCATGCACGAGAGAATCACCAAAACATCAAATATATAAGGTTTCGCGTAGATTGATGTTCATCTGGTAGAAAACTGTGGCCACCATGTAGTTTGTTGTCCAACAGGATGCGTCTATCCTGACAGGCTTGATACCAAAAACAGCGAATTAATTGTGCTATGTAACTTCCATTAGTTACTACCGAGGAAAGGAGACTTAACAATTATGAACTTAAAGTCGTTACACGCGGATAGAAGTCTTGATGTGTGTCGTAGAGGTTGGTGGTGACGTGGCCATTATTGTCACATTGAAAATAAATGTGAGGTTGTGGAGCTAGTTAAGAGGAGGGGGATCCAAAAATAATGTAAGAAAAAATGAATATTAGGATGGTTCGCAGCTTGTAAAAATAATTAAAAAGATAAGTTTGGAATTTAAATTTTCACATAAATGGTTATACAACCTTATCGCCGTTCATTTTGGCCGTCACGTAGGACGGGACGAGAAAAAAGGAGAAAAGAACAGATGTGGATGAAATTAAGATAAAACAGGCGACTGTTTCAGAAGGCTACTATTACTCAACTAGGTTTCTTTGTCTATTGAGAACGAATCTTGCTTCTCTGTATTGAACCAATTCTATTTTGTGCATGTCAGAATTTAGATGCTAGTCCCGCAAGGCTTATAATGAAACATGTTTCACAAAAGGTAGGTGCATATTAGCATAAATCTTTTCTAGCTACAACAAAAATATACAGGTAAATGAAGATTGCAAAACAAACATGGAGCTTACATTACATTTTAACGAAACGTTCGGGAAGCAGAATCTGTATGGAACTATGTACATTAAACTTTAGGACTCAAACATTATTAAAAATTAGATGAGTTTACCAATTTATGACTTATTGATAAAAATAGTGAATAACTTTGTTACCTTCCCACCGGTAACGCTAATTGAGCATTACTTTATAATTTTATTTGAGAACGGGTCATGTATTTACACGTACATAGTGCTAAAATATACACAAATTTCCCCGACCCGGTCACTCCCAAACCCGCTACATGTATTTTGAAAGAGATTTCCATGCCTCTGGTATCGGTTCATTGGCATACCCCTCCCCTAGGGACTTACTCCGTATATCATAACATGGAAACGGTTTAAATACTCACCCTTTAACCACACATACACGAATTCTCAATTGTCTGACAAATAAAAACAAAACTGCAGATACACACCCTCGACATTTGTTTCTTTAATATGGCAAAGAAAACAGGAAATTCAACTATATCATAGTTTGCGAGATGAATATTTTCCCGATGAGAGTAGAATATAGTTTTTCTACAGTTAGGTGACGCGTAAGAGCGGGAAATCGCGGAATGGATTTTTTTGTGTCACATGTAAAAATGCTTCCTCAAAGAATATTTCATAGCATGTTAATACGTTCGAGGGTGCATATTTTGGGATGGCGTAGCAAATACATAATATCGCGAATTTCAATGCTACCGAAAATCGGTTTGAATAACACTACGAAAAATATGTTCTTGAAAACGGCCTGATGGAAAACACTTTGTATTCAATTTAACGCGTGCAATCAATCATGACCTTGATTCCTTCACCTTTCAAGGTCGTCACGAAGGCCTTGATTGAATCCTCCAATGAAAATCTGTGTGTTATGAGAGGCTTGACGTCAACCTTTCCGGAGGCTACCATTTCCAAAGCTGTTGGATAGCTTGAAAAACGCAAAAGAAAACAACAGTAATATTATTTTTATGAGTTCAATAACGCGAGCAACAGTTGATTTAAATTATCATGTGACAGATAATTACCGGGTCGTTGCTAAGGATGTTTACAGTATGCGAGTTTGTTGACAGTTGTCGCCGAGTAAAATTTATTTGGGTCTTGATCTGCATGACTTTGGAATATATTATTATAAGTTTTCTCTGTTTAATACAGATGTACACTGTAATTAATCTTTTTGACGAATCGGGAGATTTCTCTGTGTTATTTATTATACTTTTAGCGCAGCTGGATACAATATATCATTTTCCCAACAAAAACCAAGCAAATACACAAACTACTGCTAGTGTCGTTTAAACATAAAACATATCAAACATTTTTACCAATTGCAGTATCGAAGGTTTCCTCGGATGTCCACCTCCCGAAGGGAAGCAGCCGTTATTGGCAAGTCGATGACCTTTTGACAACATCCTACCAATACCACGCAGCCTCCGGGCTCAGTCACCTTTGTTAAAAATAAATCGTACTAAATCATTTCAGAAAACGCAGATATTTGATTAATACTTAAGGAATTTCTCATAAATCATTAGATACACCCACTATTCTATCGGCAATTTAGATAAAAGAACACATTTCCCTTCCCCAAAATGCAATCCAAGGGTAGATAATTCTGCAAACGGACACCTGAAGCTGTGTACGAAGTAATCTTTCGATGTATTACAATATAAATGAATATGAAGTTTGGTATACGTCTGTATAGTATCCAAGGATACATAATTATGTTTACGTACATATGTAACTGTATGTAAGGGGAGATAACTATGTATGTTTACATATGTTCTGTCTGTAAAATAATCTTAGGTGAGCTAACTATATATATATAATATGTGTATACGTACATATGCAACTGTCTGTAAGGCGAGATAACTATATTTTTATACATATGTTTAGTCTGTAAATTAAGTAATCTAAGGGGAGATAACTATGTATACGTACATATGCAACTGTCTGTAAGGGGAGATAACTATGACTTAAGTAATTCAAGGGGAGATAACTATATGCACGTACGTATATAGCTGTCTGTACACAGGGTGTGGCCCCGCTGCACTCAATGGTGATCTCAGCCTTGTCTCCCATTATATCCTCCACCTGCTTAGCAACTACCTCGGGGTCACGACTCGTCACCTTAACGGTGTGTGTAGCACCTAACGTTTTAGCGATCTCCAACCGAGAGTCATCAATATCTGCAAGTAAAGATGGAAGCGAAGCAAGATTTTTAACAAAATGGCACTAAAAGCAGATCTTATCTTTACTAAAGACGATTAAACTAAAACATGGTTAATAATTTCCCTTAATTTTGAATTTAGTTTTTATAATTTTACTTTTATCCACGAAAGTAATCTGACGCAAAATTCGGACAAGAATAAAAATTTGCATTCCTTGACATTTCACATGTAACTATACTTCTAATTCATTTCACTATTGATAAGAGTTAATCTATATTTTATCAGGGAGATTGTCGGACAGCTTCAACAAACAAAACAACTAATACGGAAGGGAATTCAGTGATTACAACAATTGTAAAAGTAATGATGATGACAATTATATGAGTAATCTCCCCTTACCTGTTATGCACACGACTGACGCACCCATAGCCTTGGACGTCAGGAGGGTAACCAATCCAATTGGACCTAGATCATATTCAACACGGAGGTTAGCAAGATAAGCAAAACCTATCCTATATAGAGATAAGGTAGACAACCCAGATTTATTCTCGAATCAAGCGCATTATCTGGCTCACAGAAAATCAAACTTGGATGTATAATGATCATAAAATGACCGCGCCAAACGTCACTTTATAGAGGTAAAATGGAGGTAAAAAGTGTGTATGATGTGTGGCAACAGGGAAGAGATAATAAATTACCAATGTTAACCGCAGTAGAAACAATGCCACAGACCTATTTGACCATTTAAGGCGTTCAATGTTGCGATTTTGATGCTATTTTGACACTAAATAATTATGACAAGGGAGAAACGACCTACCTGACCCTAAAATGAGCACCTTGCTCCCAAGTTTGACCCCGCCCCTGTTACAGGCGTGAACACTGACTGATAGGGGTTCCAACATGGCTCCCTCTTCACAACTCACGTGATCGGGTAATCTAGATATAAAAAAAGGAAAGCAGACCATTTTAGTTATGCTCATAGTAAAAACCTGTTTTGTGGAACTGTTTAACACTTATCAATATTTGGGACACATCATATTTTGTCTATATTATGCTGGGACACAGAATCCGGGACACATGTGCATGGTACTTCCCCCCAATCAAATTTTATCTTTCTTCCATAAACATTCAATAATTCAAGTTCTGCATTTAAGAGTTCATCAAGCAAGATAATTAGTGATTAGTCATTAATAAGGAAAACGGTAATTAAAATGAGGCCCAAAGTGCCTGTACACTTGTATCGCTCTCGTTGACTGTAAAACAATCAACGTAAGAATAATTCATAGTAATAGATTTAATTACAAACATTTCCTCACTTTTGTCTCTAATTCCTTTACTTGATACTTGGTTTTCCCGTCTCAAAAGATGATTCATAAAAATGTTGAAAATAGAATCAACAGTTTCAAGGGATTAGGCCGTAAAATATTACAAAAGACCAACAATATCCCCCATGTGGACATTCTTTCTCAGTCCTCAGGGAAGAGACATACTTCATTTTTACAATTAATACCTCTAATTAGGTCCCAATTGCCAAGTATTCTATCGAAAGCGAATTTGGGTGAGATGATATGGGTGTTAATATGACTTTTGAAATAAGTCCCGTGGGTTGGGGCCAAACCCCAGTGCCAATCCTGATAGCATGGAGGTATTCGTCTCTTCGAGCATATCAATTGTATTTAAGGATTGGTTGTCATATTTTTGACATGCATTGGTTTGTAACATACATTGGCTTACCTACATATTGAATGGTGCGCGCTAGTGCACCATGTTAAATATGTAGGTAAGCCTCATTCGCCCAAATCAACATGCTTAATGCTGAATCCACTTGTAGTTACTTAAAGTATCCTCTTCAAAAAGGGTTCCACTCTCAGAAACCGTAAAACACAAGCAAAATTAATGCCTTGATAACACCATTTTTTTCAAAATATGTCTATAGATATTGTCCTAATATTCCTTGCAAATTGTTTAAAATTGTTGAATATCTGAATTTACAATTAAGCCGGTACTTTTTCAATATGTATAGCTATTTTTCCGGGAATTAAACTCGCGAAAATATTAACGATTATGTATCTTCGTGAGTCAACGGGAAAACAATCCACCGCGAAAATTAGATTATTTTACTCTATATAAAGTGTATGGCAGCATATGTAACATACAAATGGAATATCTCACTTGAAACAGAAATCGGCGGCATGGACGAAATATCGGCTCAGGTTACCATCGTGAGGGGGCGTGGCACAAAACACGCAGTCGTTGCAGAGATTGTAACGGCCGGTTTTACAGTACTTACACATCCGACACGGTACACCGGGTTCTATGGCAACCCTGTCACCTACAAAGACCGGAAATACGTCACAGAGGTCAGAGGTCGTGAAGATTTGATTTATCAAAACATACAACAAGTTTGTTAAACACGATATCCTTTTAAGTACTTCTCAATACTGTCAACTTACCACCTCGATCTTTGACAATCAACTTTTCCTATAACCATGTCAAGGCATATGTTACTGATAGCGATACTCTAAACACAGATTTTCTGTCATTTCTCTTACAAACCAAACAACACCTATTTCATTTAAGACATACTTCAATCTAATTTTTAACAAAAGTATAAATAATTATTTTCGGAATTACGTTACGAAACTTTCCACATTCCAAGATGCAGGTTCATTTATTTCATAATTAGAAAATGTACGTGGGGTGATTGAGGTCATCAAAACATATACTTATCTATCGTTACGTACAATGGTATACCTTCTCATTATAACGACTTCATATATCTTTGTAAGGTGTATACTGACATCCCGTTATATTCAACATTTACGTCTTTTTCCTTATAAAACTACACAATAAAACCTTTGTAACTTGACATCCTTCTTATCCAAGTAACTTATTGTGCCAAACAGGGTAGTAGTATCAGATTCGAAAGGTGTCTCAATGTATATGAATTTTCATTTAATGCTATTTTGATCCTGCAGGAACCTACAAACCATGACAATTGATTTCAAGTTGTTGGTGCTTGCCAATGAGTAACAGCTTTTTTTTCAAATGCGTTACAGAAATAAACACTCCATCAAGTGTCTTTTTCAATGTTCAACTGACAAGACTAACTACTAAACAAGTAAACAAACAAAAACACGACACACCACGAGTTGAGGAATCTGGCTAGTTTAATCAATATACAATGTTATGTTATATCAGCATTGCGATGTCAATACTGAAATGACCATTCGTGGTGGCACTACCAAAATCGGTCTCGCTAAATCACTGAATCAAATTTCGTTCTTCTTCTAAAACCTTTGTGTGAAAAGGGGACACTTTTACCTAAATGATGTAAACAATAATACTGAGACAAATTCGAAACTCAAACATGATATCTTGAAACTTGAGGAGATACCAGAACGAAAGGAAAGACAACCATATAACTAAGGAGACAGAAAAGAAAAAGAAAATATGAGGAGACATGTACACCAAAACAACAAAATATACGTAAACAGTGTTGACAAGATACCAGAACGAAAGAAAAGAAATTAACATGAACTGAGGCGACACAAAAACTGAGGAGACGTCAGAACGATGGGAGAGACAACAACAAGAACTGAA